GATTTTTACCTGGCCAGAGATTACACCATTACTCCTAATGACTCAGTTGAGGTTGTCGCGGTCACTCAGGCACTGATTGACTTCTCATAGATATAACATATAGGTAGTATCTGTTCCGAGGGGAGTGTCTCCAGTAGTCCAGTCCCTAACATGTACTCCCTAGGGCACAGGTACGCTTGTCGGGCACTTGAAGTTGTTGACCCTAACAGTAAAACTCTGTGTCAATAGACTCAATACCAATCTGACCATTCCTGTAAGTTCCCAGTCAATATTTGGACAAATGGCATTTTCAAAAACAGAGGTTTGGCACCGAAAGATAAAAGTATATAACATTTAAGTGGAGTTAACAAGTTCAGTGGTTTTAAAGTGTTTTTTGTTGGCGCCTCAGTAAACCAGAGTGTACTGGACGAGACATTGCAAGTTTGTTTTGACTTATTCGGATTTGGAGTCCTAAGACTACTTAGACTGTTTGATGGGAATCTTGGTTTAAGTACATGATTTTATTTATACCAGACCAATATTACCATAATCTAATATTTATATCACCATAATTTAATAAAATGTGTTCTGGTCACGTTTTGAATAGAAGCTTGGAGAAAGCTTAAGTACATGTACTGTAAGTAGAAAGTACTTGATCAGATTACAAAATAAAAGTCCCTGCCATACTGTTCTTCATGCATCCTGTGATAAAAACCAGAGGATTTTGGTTGAACGCGGTCCTAAAAATTATTTCTCACAAACACTGCTTATATTATATGTAGGTGCTTACCACACAAATGTTTTATAACGAATGTAAAACAAAAACTTATTAAGATGGAGATCCATGTAGACACCATAAAACTACTACACAAAGAATTGCATATCCACCTACCATACCCCTAAACCAACCATTACTGGAAACATAGGTAACCTTTTGTAACAGGAGAAGTGAAATACAACTGCCAGACTGAGGTTTGAACCCGGGACCCTCTGAACTCTAGACGGACACTCTACCAATTTAGCCGCTGAGGATTGACCCAGTCCAGTTCCGCTTCATTCTTCCTTCCCCTTTTTCTAAGTCTTCACCTCTGAAGACAACACTATTTACAACCCAGATTCGGGTAGCCCCTCGCCATGTATTCAACCATTACTTGAAACAAGGGTTTATCATAGGCTCCACTAGTACTGTAACAGGAGAAAAGAAATACAATTGTCAGACCAGGATTCAACAGATGCTCAACCAATTGAGCTTCTTGTCACCGACGATTGCACCAGTCTAGTTCCACTACACTTTACTGTAAGGGGTCTTTTTGGCAGGGTTCTTTTTTTGGTGATTTCTGTGGACACTCTTTTTCTGCAAAATATACTCATTAACCTTCTTAATTGTAGCACTTTGTGCAATATCCACTAGACCTGAAATCCAGGAAAAAATAGATCCTGTGAAATGGACCATTTTGTCAAATCCATGAAAATTAGGGATTGCTGAAATGATACTGTTAATTAAGGAGGTATGCTACCTTACTTTGACGTGGTGACTAAAGGATGTATGTTATCTATCTTACTGTGACGTGGTGACTTAATGTGTATGTTATCTATCTTACTGTGATACTGATACTTAAGGAGGTATGCTACCTTACTGTGACGTGGTGACTTAAGGTGTACGTTATCATTCTTACTGTGACGTGGTGACTTAAGGTGTATGTTATCTATCTTACTGTGACGTGGTGACTAAAGGATGTATGTTATCTATCTTACTGTGACGTGGTGACTTAAGGTGTACGTTATCATTCTTACTGTGACGTGGGGACTTAAGGTGTATGTTATCTATCTTACTGTGACGTGGTGACTAAAGGTGTATGTTATCTATCTTACTGTGATACTGATCCTTAAGGAGGTATGCTACCTTACTGTGACGTGGTGACTTAAGGTGTACGCTATCATTCTTACTGTGACGGGGTGACTTAAGGTGTATGTTATCTATCTTACTGTGACGTGGTGACTTAAGGTGTACGTTATCATTCTTACTGTGACGTGGTGACTAAAGGTGTATGTTATCTATCTTACTGTGACACTGATACTTAAGGAGATATGCTACCTTACTGTGACATGGATGCTTAAGAACTTATGCTACAGTTGTGTGACATAGAGACTTAAAGAGTTCCACACAGGAGCTTAGTAGGCATTATGCAGGGATGAGTCTACTGATAACAATTACTTATTACTAAATTATTAGATGATTAAATGGCCAATGTACTAACAGATGACTCAACTAAAATATATACAAGGATTTATCTCTTGATACCAATTAGGTAATTCTGAATTAATCCATAATTAGAAAGAATTAAGGGAGATAACTCTAACTCAAAGATTAAATAACATAGGGTAGCATATGTCCTTAAGCTGATGTGTAATTATGTCTACCTGAAATGAGAATCAAATCTAATTAAAACAGTTAGTTCATGATTAAGGTAGTACGTGTACAGGATCAATTATGGATTTAAGTTTGTGATTAATCATTGCACAAGACCTCTCAATTTCAGCAATGAAAATCTGCACCTAGTTTGTTAGTCATAAGGGTTCATGTAAGACTGAACTGAGTTTGCTGACAGAAAGTACTATCGATATAGCCCCTAGTTTCTAATTTATGTTATATATTGATCCAATCTTCATCAATTATTCAACTTTATCGTATCTGTTTTTGTATTTTTGAAAATTTATCGGAAGTCCTTGAAATTTTCACTGGCTGATCTCAATACTTCAGAACCATTCAAGTTTGATCTGTTTAAATTAATTACATTTCAATCAGTATTCAAGATCTCTGTAAGGATTTTTCCACTATTTAGATTCACCACATTCCTGTGAAATACCTGCATATTAGTTATATCTACGGTCACGAAGTAGAGAGCTGAGTTCTGAGTACATGTTTTCATCAACAGATATTTAATTATAAAAACAGATTGATTTTTATAATGATAGAATTTTCAATAAGGTCTTCTTGCAATGTACTAAGTAGCCTTGGTGAAGGACAATTCAACTGTAATCTTTTCTTTATTTATACCCTAGCTACGTTGTGGTAATTAGGTTGTGCTTTTTCGATGATAAATTGATATCACTTTTATGTATTAATAAATGATAGAAGACTTTAATTTAATCCATGGATCATTTTAGAGATGTTAAATAAAAGCCAATACACTTACATATATTATGCAATTAACTATTCCTTAATACCGAAACCCCAACCTTGACATGGTGAAATCCTAAAAACAACTTTGGAGATCAGACTGAAGTAAGCTTGAGGAGCTTGTGAAGAGAGACTTGTACCGTATTTGACCGCAAATAAGCCCCCTCTTGCAAATAAGCCCCCTCTTGCAAATAAGCCCCCTCTCAACTTTGGCAAATGTCCTGGGAACAGGGTGGGTATGTGCCTGCAATTAAGTCCTCTCTCTAATTTTGTCTCTCTCAAAAAACAAATGTGTGTTAATTTTTGTCTCTGACATAAGCAAATTAGCCAAGGTAATGTGAATTATTGGAGAATAGGTACTGTATAAATAGAAAGGTTCCCCAAGTAATGATATGACCCTTCACTGGTAAAATCCCTATTCTGATAATTCGCCCAGTGTTTTAAAAATGTCCCAATCAACATGTGATTACTTATTTGCAATACATAATGTGCTATTATTTTATTCAGTTTTATTTTCTATCATGATAAATTTGCTCTCATTACAGAGGATGCAAAAGATGAAAGTTTAGCTGCAGCAAACATTTCCCCACCTATTTAGCCTGAGTTTCCTCTTGCCCTGACACCAGACATTAGACATTTTGACAGATACATGTCTGGTGAGGCCAGAGGAAACTCAGGTTACCACCTACACACTGCAGTATTACTTCTTGTAAGGATTGTTCATGGCTCATACTATAGAAAAATCTCAGAGTTAATTTCCCTGTCAGTGTTGAAGCATACATGTATAAAACTACTGTAAAACATGAAAAAAAATGAAAATATTAGCAGAGATTAATTTCTCAACAAAAAACTTTTTGCAAAACTATGATGATATTGACAGGGTTATGAATCAATCACATGCTTTATTAATCATACAGTTATGATTTGTTTTATCATTATTGTTTTTAAGTATAAATGCTAAACCATGATACCACTTGAGCTTGAACAAAAGCACTCAAGGCCTCCAAACATACCTCAATTTCTAAATGGCCTTTTACAGCTAGAAATTCAAAACTTTTATCAAAATACTTGTCCATTAAAAACTGCTTGTGGTAATCCTTTAACATAAGAGAGAGAAATTTGTTTTGAATGAAGAATTATTGTAGGGGTCATTTACTGACTAAAAATAGCAATTAATAATATTTAATTGCTAAAGTGTCATACATGTGACTGCATGTTCGTGTTATACAGATGTCAGAAATAATGCATAGAGTATTATAAAGGGTTGTTCTTCAGAAATGTACAGAACATCTTACTCCAAATGGCTGTTAAAATTCTTCTGAAGTGTTAAGTGATTGACTTTTGAACCATGATCGATTCATATTTAATGTTCTTATATGATTATGAATAATTTCATTTTCATTTCATATTTATTGCACTTGCGGATAAAATCCAAAAACTTGTCTTGGTGAAGATAATGTTTGATCGAGTAGGTCAATTTATTCACTGAGGTGTGAATTGATAAAGAATTATATGTAATAAAAATCCAATAACCAGTTGATGGTCAAAATGATGTAAACAATTTAGTCATGAATAAAAAAGATAAATGGTTGAGAGTTTGAATGGAATCATGGATATGTATGCATGCTTCATTTAATTAAATTTGTCAATACAGTTATTCATGTGTAAATGAAAGAAAGAAATATGTTATTGGAATTTTCTGGCATGCAAGTAAAATAAAGGGAACAAAATCGTTTGTGTATGTAATGATAATACCTGTGTACACCTGATGAAAATTTAATCAGTTATGTATTAGCCTGGGTATTCACAGCAGTAGATTACCTTCTACTAAAGTTATTGGGACAAGTATACGGGGTGGGATCGGTTCAACTGCCAAATGTGTGCGTGTGTTTGCCGTAGACGAAATCGAAATCAATGAGTTTGTTTAGAAATTGATAAGTAAACCAGTGGTTTTCATTTCTGTGTAAACGTTGACATAATGCAAGCACACTTATATACAATCGTACATGCATGATAACGTAGTAGTCACCGCCACCGACTGGCTTGTGTAAAATTATTCCACGATAGATTTGAAACGTTATGATGGAAGCATTTTAAATGTGACACAGGTAATCAATTCTATTGAAGAAAATTGAATGAGAAATGCAAATCAGGTGTATCTGTGTGCACACAATACTGGGAAGGTCGTGTGCTGAAGTGTGAGAGGTCAGCTTTGTTCTACATACCGCTACAACACTTAGGACTGGCATCTACCCAATTTAAATAGGCTTAGGACATAAACGTTTTACAGCTCATAAGTACCGGCCGATACAAGGAACTTCGTCAAAGATTTATTTTTGCAATAAGTCACCTCCTGGTTCTAAAGGGAGTTTTTACTACAGATATTTCAGATTTATTTCTAACTTTATGGATGTGAAACACTTTATTTCGGATTTATGGAAGTGAAAGTGAACGGCGGGAGTTACACACTGTGGAAAGATTGTGCTTACTGTTTTTTACGTGGATTTCTGGACAATGATTCTAAGGGTACTTGTGAACATTCCAAGGTGAGGCGATCTGATTATCCTAACTTTGTATGTATAGTGTTAAAATTCATTAAGACAGTTAAAATGCTATTGCATCATGTCAGTATTTTTGTATAGTGAAACAAACCTTTAACTTGAAATGACTGCTTATTATGAATATTTTTTCACAGATTGAAAAATTGTAAGTAAATTTTGCTCTATCAGAATCAACATATTTATCCCTCTACACATAACTAAGCATTTCAATTGTGCGAAATTTTTGTATTTCATTCAATTTATTTTTAAAAGCAATTTAAAATGCAGACAGGTTATTTTGTCTTGACAATCAAATAGAAGTATCTCCTGTTAAATAACAGATTTGTATAGCACTTCTGTTAAGAGTTATAATACTTCTGAACTTACAAATTAATGTACTAAGAGCGTCCTAGCATAGCACGTTATTTACCTTGATAACAAGTATGATTTAACAGTTATTCTCTGAAATATAAGTAATTATTTACTTGAACTTGAATAAATAATTTAATTGCTTCAAGATTTTACAAAGATAATTGTGATTTAATTGTGAGGCAGTGTTTATAATTAAATTCGCAATTTTTAACAATAGGTATTTAAGACTGTTTGGTACAGGTAAATACAGAACGTGCCAAATCAATTACACTCTGTACCTATTGTAATTACCTGTCCGACTTTCTACAGTCAAGTGAGAATGTATTGGGGAATGTATTTATTCCAGTCACAATTGAACCCACAATACATTGTCGATAGGTCCTGGATTAGATTTAACAAAATCAATGCTTTATTATCAAATACTTACCAGGAAATTATCACCGTTATAGAAACCTGAATGTAATTACAATCAGGATAAAAATAGATGTTTTTCCATTTAATCTGAGATTTTTTAATAGTAATAAAATGTGTACTCTTGATTTTCATGACATAAACAAAGCATGGTTCTTTATTGAAAGCCAGGGCTCAGAGTGTGAGGTTTCATCAACCCAGATTAACCCTAGTCCAGCATTTGGCCAATCAAGGGATATGTTAATGGTATGTTGGCTTATAGTTTTGTGGTCAGTGGTCAAGTGTTTAGTGGCTATCATGTAAAATTAGACCACTTACTGATAGTGGGGCTAGCTTAGATAGGCATTGTCAAGTTTTAGGCGGCTATCATTCAAAGCTAGTCGAGTGCCTATTTCTGATTGTGGGCTTAGCTTATAAGATCGGCCTGGTCAAGTCTATTGTGACAGCTAGCTAAAATTTAGCCTTCACAGCATTTTAGACGAGCATAATATTATTGATGTAATGAATTAGCTTGATAGCTGTTGTATTATATATAGCACATAGACACTGATAGCTCAGTAAAGGGGCACCTGCTTCTTTGCAATAAGAATACAAATACTATGTTATGTTAAGAAACAGGATTGATATTGTATAAGAAGTATACCAGTCACAGACTTTTCTTTTGGTGATTATGTGGTTTAAAATGATATTGACCTCCACTTCATCTCATCTCACCCAATACTAGAAAAACACAACTCAAAACTATAAAAACAAATCATTGGAAACTCGCTTAAAAGAAATCCTCAAAATAAAAATGGTGTAATGTTCATGCAACACAAGATTGTGAAATTGTCCAAAAAATAAGCTGTTTGTGTGTTATAAATTGTTTTACTTGTATCAATATGCTTGGCCCCTATTTCAATTATATCAGTACCATATGGGTATGTGTGGCCCCTACTGATATTTCTTTGACCTTTTTCTTAGTTAACCTGGCCCTTTATACCAGTATGTGAGGCCCTAATTTCTTTGACAATTTATACCAGTATGTGTGGCCCCTATTTCTATGATCATTATATCAGTATATGTGACTCCTACGATACTTTGACCTTGTGAGGATATCTGTGTAGGTTACCAAACATGTACTGTCCTGGGATGGGACAGAATGGAGCTCAACTTACCATCACCGTACTGGACATTTACCATCACCGTACTGGACATTTGCCATAACCGTACTGGACATTTTCCATCACTGTACTGGTCATATCATTGTACTGGACCTTTACCATCACCGTACCGGACATTTCCCATCACCGTACCGGACATTTAACATCACCGTACTGGTCATTTACCATCACCGTTCTGGACATTTACCATGACTGTACTGGACATATCACTGCACTGGACATTTACCATGACTGTACTGGACATATCATTGGACTGGACATTTACCATCACCGTACTGGACATTTACCATCACTGTACTGGACATATCATTGTACTGGACATTTACCATCACCGTACTGGACATTTACCATCACCGTACTGGACATTTACCTGGACATTTACCATCACCGTACTGGACAGCTGAGATGTATATAAGATAGATTTGTTGACAGATCAGCAGAAATCACTAGTTGCTAGGTATAGTTCCTGTGTGAGAATCATATCTGTTTTACGCTGTGTTTTAGATATGTTCAGTAGGTTTGTTTATTTGTAAACAATTGAAACAATATAAACAATATACATTCTATATACCCAAATATTTTGTGATGCAATCATTGCTGATATGTATATTATTTGAAACCTTCAGCTCTGTGTCAAATTGTCCCGTCCAAAACATGATGTGCTAGCTTTGTTATATGCATTTAAAAAAAAGAAAGTTGTACACGACCAGACAGGTAGTTGTAGTGATGATCCGACCTGTTGTGATGTGACTAGCTTTCATTGCGTTTCCTCTTAAATACCTCCTAATGTAAAACACAATATTCATTACACAGTACTAGTACACACACGAAGTATGCTTTTTGATGCTGTAAGCTGACCAAACTTGATTGTTAAACTTCGTGCTTTGGTCATTTATCAATTATTGACAATTAGTATTTTACCACCCTTGATCAGCTATCAGATTGAAACATGAGTATTTGTATACTAATTATACACAGTCAACATGACCACAGTAATCATGATGTATGTTTTGCATTTTGTTGTCTTTTGTAACTCAATATTGCTGATCTATGTCCAAATAAGGACAAAGAAGGATCGCCAATAGTAAGTCTGACCTTGACCCTGGTATGTGTCCTTTTCCCACATCTATATATCACATGTACAGGGTTTACACGTGTAGTAATACACTACTCACTGGTGATAATGGCGTATTAGTACCGACTCAACTAGCCACCTTAAACAATACCGTTCATTTAAATATCACATGTATACCTTATGTCCAACGGTAGTTATTAGTCAACTTGATTTGATAAGTAGAATTTTTAATGTTTTTAGCTATTCATTCAATTCAAGGTTTCCCACTGGTTGGATTTAGAATATTCACATTTATCTTAGAAATTTTAACACCTAGGCATGTTTTCAATACTGTTTCAGTTATTCAATTAAAATAATTATATTTACTCAATCAGGATAGGAATCTAACAGGACTTTGAGCGAGGTATCTACATACACCACTACCACAGGGTATAACATGTTAACTGTGTGCGGGTGATTTTCTACAAGCCTGTACAGGTTTTTCCCTCCAGTTTATTTTAGTTTGTTGATAACATTCAGCGATTATCGTCTCTGAAAAATTGTGTTTTGAAAAATATTGATTGCCTTTAACTTATTTGATGAAAACATATTTGCTCCAGTCTGAAATCATATTTTGTGTACTTTATTTTTATCAAAGTAAAAATGGTATTTTTGATTACATGTGTATAGTCTTTTAAAAATCAATGATTTGCTGTATAAGCAATTTAATAAGCTGTTTATTCTCCCATGCATGAAACATTAATTTTCATTCATTGCCTTTTCAACTTGGGATTTACCTGCCGTCCTGATTAGGTTTTTTACCTGTAAGGTATATATATACAGTGCATTAATGGTTTGTACAAAGATTGACATGCATACCTATTTTCGCATGGATCTGGAACTTAGTGTTGTACATTTCTAGAAGTTAATCTGTTGATATGTGTAGTATAGGCTATATAGATATGAATATGTACATTAATATGGTTGTACTATGGGGTTTAACTCATTCACCCCTGAAATTTCATAATGAACTGTTCAATTCTTTGGATTGGAAGAGTTCAAATGTGTCTTCAGGGGTGAATGAGTTAAGTTTGGTCAAGCTGAACGAAGTAGCCTGTAAGGGTCAGTGTGGGTCATCAGAGCTTTGTAGGCAATTACATTCCAATTGACCTTACAGCTTTACAATGTTTCCAATCTAGACAGATTTTTCTTTAGTGTTACATTATGTTATGTTATGTTTAGGTAGCAATTTCCTAACCTTTTTGCCAAAAAATCATATTTTCAAACCAAGCTTCTATCAAAGTATTAATACCGCTTCTTTCCTTGATCACCATATTTCTGTAAAGCTTGATAACTACTGTATTTGAGGCAAAAATATTATTAGTAAGCAAAGTCTCATTTGTGCACAATTTATTAGTAAGTCCATCAAATTTTCCACAGTTAAAGAATGATAAATTGTAACAACTATTGGCCCTTTGCTAAGAAGATAAATACAGCATGCATACACTGTATAAAGCTTGTCCTGGCATGTGCTTGCTCTCTCACTGAATACCTGTGTTAAGAGCCAGTCTGATTTATTCATTGTTATAAGGTGCCACTGAGATATTTCATTGAGGTCATTTTCTGTGTAATCAAGTTAGTGATATAATTATTTATAAATATCTTTTACCCTCTGAAAATTGCACATACACACAGGCATTATCACAAGGTATAAACTGATGTAAAAAGTTCAAAAACATTCTTTTATTCTTGCATTTATTCTTGCACTCTACAATTTTCTTACATCTCTGCTACGACAATAAGACTGAAATGTGAGCAAACAGAGAATAGAATTGACTTTGGTAAATTTTCAAGTGGCCAAACAGGCCATATAATCCATTTAATCGACACAAATAATGACCAAATACCTGTGAAATTATAAAGTAAATTTGCCACCTCCTGTTTAAACACTAGTGAAAACTTTGGGGCGAACTTGGAGTGTTTGCAGACAGGTTCATCTGGAATCATTTTCAATAGTCCACTTATTTACAATTTCATAGTGTTGACTTACTTATTTATTTGCATGAAACGAATTTCAACAGAACTAACTAAAATTCTGTTAAACCCTACCAATTTTCTACCATTTATCCATGTATTCCCATGATAGGAAGCTTCTGGGGATCATATCCTCTGGTTTGTAAGCTTGAATCAGTAGCATTGACATTTTGTTTTCAAAAAGAAATTTCTTAATCATGTTTTAAAAAATATGGAAAAATGCATTATTATGTTATCAAAAAATGAGGATAGCACAAAGAATTCACATCTGTGAATAAATTTAACTGAAAATGTGAAAATGGTCAAAATAATACTACAAATACTCTAGCCAATTAGCTTGCAAGCTTGACACCGTGCTTGGTATGTAAATACTAGTAGCTATAGTACCTTACTTTGGACCTTATTTAAATGGATTATATTTGTTAGTCCTATTAGATAGTCTTTACCCTTATCAGGCATTGTGTAATGGGACTGTGGCCCATTACCGTCAGAATGTCACAGCGGTTAAACGCCAAAGATTCAAGCTAGACAACAACAATAATATCTGGAGGCCTCCAACCAATACGTTTATTTCAATCTGACGTTCCGAGTAGGAAGGCATTCACTGCCAGAGATATGTGTTAAAGGTTAAAAAGTTTTCAGAAAACTTTAGATTCAAGTTAGAACCTTTAGATAACATGCAGTGTAAGAGGAAGTTATCAGATAAAATAGGACAGTAAGATATTTTCTGGAAAACAGGTTTTATCAGCGTTGAGGTTCAGCCTTAAACCTGCATTATATAATGCTATATGGATGTCATTGTTCAGTGTGCATATAAGTAGTGGACCAGTGGTGACAGTGGTTTCCTAGGTAAGTATGGTATTGTATTACAGACTAAAATCTACCATGTCATTCATGTCTAACACTCGTAAAGTCAAACTCGGACAGGTCGAAAGGAAATCGAAAAAAGGTTTTAGAAACCACAAGTGTACGTACTTTACCATTGATTTTTATGG